AATCTTAAAAACGCTCCACCGTCGCGTTCCCGTCTAAACGGTAAAAACGCAAATCTGCTCACGGTGGCTCTCGTCGCGTACGCGTTTACGTCACAGGCATGTGCTAGTACAGGAAAATCATAGTCAAGTTTTAGTCAATTTTTGTAAAAAAAAAAAAAAAGTCTTTACAAAATAGAGAAAATAAAAGTGCAGCTGTGTCAATTTGTATCAAGTTCAAAAATGGAAAAGAAATAAAAGAGCCACTTTGCAATCTGTTAAAAAAAGAAAAAAGAATAGAAATCCATTTGGCAAGACAGGTCTATTTATCCCTGCATTAGTGGCTGCAATGAGCCTGTTTTGCATTGCACAATTTCTCAAAAGTCAAGCTCAATGTTCAGCTGAGATCTGTACTTTGTTTTCAGTGAAGCTGAAAAGCCCATCTCACAGAGATATGATGTGGCAAAGGGAAGAAGAATGCACACAGCTCTCTGCCTTTAGCCTTATACATAAAAACGTGATTTTTTTTTTTTAAATAGATAAAATAGACATAACATACTGTGTTAGATATGGGATTAAAATGATGGATAGTGTATGGGCAGTGTATAAGATATAAACTAATGATTAATTATTGTAATATTCCTTTGTTCCGATCAGAGCATGTGAGCGAAGAGCGCATTTCTGAATATCCCTCGGCTCGCTCATTCAGCTCAGGGTCGCGCGCTCAACCCAGAATGGCCTGCTGGTTCGAGAATATGTGGAATAAGAGCTGCCTCCGACTAAAGTTTTTATTCTAGTCGACTAGTAGTTGTTCATTTAAACCATTAGTGGACAAATCGCCCCTTTATATTAATTTAATTACTTAAATAGGCTATACAGGAAAATGAGCGTTATAGCTCATTATAGCACTCGAGCGCACGACCGCACGCATAAAGCTTGCCACAAAGAACCGGCAAAAGTAATGATTATGAATGTGTAAAAAAATAGCAAGGAGACATTTAATTGTTTATTAATAAACTGGGCCCGTATTCATAAAGAATCTTAACCCTTGTGTTCTGTTCGAATTCTGTGTACACCCTTTATGGACCGGGTCAAATTGACCCTAATTGGATTCAATACAATTCCTCAAAAATCACACTATGAAAAACAACAAAGATTTAGATACAAACTGTAAACTTTTAATATCAACATTTGTAAAACATTACAAAAACATTATATCTGAAAATATGATTTATGAAAATTTTTTTAAAACATTTTTTACAACAGTTTTGTTTTGATAAAATTGGAAAATAAACAGTATACTGATTTTTTTGCATATATATATATATATATATATTTTTTTTTTTTTACATTTTATGCTTTGAACATCGTAACTGAACAAAAAAAAAATGCTGTTTAATGACATTTTTTCATTTTCCTAAGTTAACTTTCCCTAGTTTCCTAAGACCTATTTTCCTAGTTTCATTTATTCACTCACAGGGAAGTGAGAAACCAAACATAACAAAATCATTCATCAAATAAATGTTTTTTATTTATTTTTTGGCTCTGTGAAGCTGCCTTTGAAAATCCTACATAAAAGTTTTGGGTAAAAGCTAGGTATTTTAGATATCTTGAATATTGAAATGAGAGCTTATTTTACTATCTGTGTCTGACAAAGATTTTCATCTGTAATTTGCAAATAATTCTAAACACTGTGATTTTAGCTTTTTCAAGTGTGTTTGGTTAGGGTTAGAGCACTTTTAGATGCACTTGCACGTTAGAACTGGAGTTGAAGTGCCCTTACATACAGAAAATAAATGTTTTTATTTTGTGTCTGTACAGTTGCTTTTGAATGGCTGTCTATGAGGGTCAAATTGACCCGCGAACATCACGAACGTAACAGTAATTTTGTTTGTATATGTCAAAACACATCACGATGTTGAAACTTTGCATGCATGTTCATCATGATAAATGAGAAAAAGTCACAAAATATCAAGAAGAAAAAAACAAAAGTTAACCAGTATTTCCAACAACTTGAAAATCGAAACGGGTCAAATTGACCCGCAACATAACACAAGGGTTTTTGCAAAGAGTAGCTCCTAGTGACAAAATTCCAAGAAAATTCTTAGAAATGTGGGCGTTTACTCTTAAAATTAAAGAAAAAATCCTAGTAAAGAAAAAAGTAATTCAGAAAGCACCTTAAGCCTTAAAAGAGGTCTTAAGGTCAAAATTGTTAGGAGCACGGACGAGGACTTTTAAGAGGCTTAAGAGTTTCTTTAGCAGAGGAGAAAATGTCAGAAAGACGAAGAGGGAGAAGAAATGTGTTGCAGACAATGGATGACAGTGAGTTAATAAGACGCTATAGATTAGATCGTGCAGGGATTATGTTTGTGACTGATCTTATTAGAGACGCTAATATCTCCAACACAGCACAGAAATGCCATAGCGCCAGAAATGAAAGTAATCACTACATTACGATATTTGGCAACTGGGAAAATTCCATGTTTGATACATTAAAATTAACATTCAAACCACCACTTAAATAGACATGCCAGCAATCAGTGTAATTGGAAAGAGTGGAACAATTTTTATCATTCTAAGCCAATCAAATAGCATACCATATAGGAAATTAACCGCATGGTAAAAAAAGAGAAAAAAGGATTTATATATAATGTGTGTGTGTGAGAACGGTCAAATAGGAAAAATTACGCATGTAATTTCAAAGTGAAGGCTTAAAATAGACCCTATACTTAAAATCACTTTTTTTTTTCTTCTTGGACAACCAACCAATCACAGTCTTCAAAAGATTGTGTCATACATAGCAACGGGGTCAACTCCGCCTCCTTACTAAGATGAAAGTTTTTGTCTTTTCCTTACTCAGAGTAGCTCTCAGATCGGTCCCGAATCGCTTTTAAGCTAAGACTCCTACGTAAAAGTTTTTAAGCTAAATTAAGAGTTTTCTGAGAGGATTCTTAGAATCTTTAGGAATACGGGCCCTGGAGTTTTCGGTGTCGCAGCAAAGATGAAGTTGACGATGCGGACGCCATGAGCGAATAAAGATACAAAGGCATAAAACGGAAAATTTCCTCCCGTTTGGAGGAGACCTGTCACGCCAGTGGGGCGCGCCCCACACTATGAGAACCGCTGGATTATACTGAAACTGAAAGTATGTCCATAAATCATCTCGTCGTTTCCGACCACCAAGCCCGTCTATTGGCTTCGATCGCTGCCGTGGTCCTTCGAAGATGTGTGGTGAGTGACTAGCCACAGCCGCAGGTGTGTTGTGTGGAATCTGGTGCGCGCGGCGGCATGGGTAGCCTACCCAAAACAAGGAAGCGGCAGCATTGCTGATACTTTTTTTTAGCTCAAAACAGACAGATTTCACGCAAAATAGGCAGAAATGACATGCTTGTGATTGTGAACGTCAGACTTGTAATCATTTTCGTTCCGTCTCGTCTTGTCAACGAAAACTCGAAAACGTCTCGTCATGTTTTAGTCACCTTAGAGCCATTTTTAGGTAGTCATCATCGCGTTATCGTCATAAAAAAAAAGTGCGTCAACGAAATCATTTCGTTATCGTCATCGTTGACGAAAACAACACTGAAGGGCATTAAATATAGTCACGCAATGCTGATGTTGTTAAAATTAACAATTTGCGGAAAATATAAATAATTTGCACGGTTTGACGTGATATGATAAGCAATCGTTAGATTTAATCAGTGCGATTTACTGCAATGCTTTTTTCCGCTTAGTTGGTCAGATCAAAAATGGATGACGTTTTCCGGTGGAAATTCTTATGTTTGTCATACTTCCAAAACTAGAATCTGTGATTCCGAATGACAGTATCCACATCGGCGCGGCGACTGACAGCGTACATTCTCCTCAAAACATTGGATTCACCCGCGCTGTGCCGTGCCAAGGCTTTAACCCACGTAAAGATGATAATTCCGCCAACATACATGATCATTTCGAACAGAGATGGTGACCAGTGTTGGGGAAAGTTACTTTGAAAAGTAATGCGTTACAATATTGCGTTACTCCCTTAAAAAGTAACTTATTGCGTTACTTAGTTACTTTTTTAGAAAAGTAATGTGTTACGTTACTTTTGCGTTACTTTTTTTCCACCTGGGCTGGGCTTGTTTTTTTATACCAAAAAAGATATATTTTTGGGCAAATGTAAAGACCCTTTCACCCCAAAAGTGAAATAATAAGCCTCAGACTGAAGGAAATGCAGATTTACTCCTGTACAGTAGAGTACAGTAGTGTTCAGTAGAACAAACAAACCTTTCAGCTGCTGCTGTTCTGGGTAACAGAAGAAGAGGATGCAGGAGAAACAAATTTAACACTTACTTTACCAATAAAACATATAAAAAAATCTATAGTCATTTTTGCTTATGGTTTAACTGAAGAATCGGAGGTCAGAAGCAAGTACTTTGGTCAATAAAGATTAAATGCATAAAAATTTATGTTTTATTTAACATATTTAGGTATTGGAGGTTTGCATAGTGTTCTGATTCTGCATTTCACTGATTTTATTCATTTTGAGGAATATTGAATCTTTTTTGTGCAAGTGAGATGAGTAAATCCACGCTTACATTTAATCTAGAACTATAATAACCATCATGTTTACACACAAAGCCTCTGCACTTCGATTTGTCTCAACATTAGGACAGAAGAGCAGTCAGTCAATAAAGGGGAAAACAAAGTAACTTTCGTTACTTATTAGAAAAAGTAACTCAGATATTTTATTGTAAATTTTAAAAGTAATGCGTTACTTTACTAGTTACTTGAAAAAGTAATCTGATTACGTAACTCAAGTTACTTGTAATGAGTTACCCCCAACACTGATGGTGACAGGAAAAACTATGGACTGCAGCTTTAACATAATATTAATTAAAATGCTAAAAATCACTAAAAAAAATAAGCACAAAACAAAATTTCTAAATGTTTTTTTTTTTTTTATGCACCAGATGCACATCTGTATTCATCACCATTTCATTTTAATAAGTTATTCTCATAGAACCCAGTGTTTCACTCTTGAACAGACACAGGTCAGGATGTCTATATGGAAGAGAGGGAGACGGGGGATTTTGCACCTAAAACAGATGAAACGCACCACGTCCAGCAGAAGCCGGTGTCCAGAGGAAAGCTAGAGGCCCGCACAGAATCCATACAGGTACAACATCTCCCTTCTTGGTAGCAACTGCTAAGATGCTACCAACCTATTCCTCCAAATTCATGCTTGGTAATGAATTCAATCTTGAGTAGAGATTTTTTTCTGAAAATTTAAAAAGCATGTCATCATAGTCATTAGTTAAATAATGAATATAGACGTATTACATTTGTACATAGCGACATTTGTAGGGCAACAGCTAAAAATCTGAATTCCTCTGGAAATTCGAGTGAGGTTTTTTGATCTATGAGTGTAAAAAAGTGTGTGGTAACAAGCCTTTCCAGTTTGTTTTTCTGCAACATAAATTACAGTTCTACCTCAAAAGTGATTTTTGACATTTCTGACGGTTTAAGGATTAAATCTGAACAGTTCTATTGCTTCATATTTTCTAATAAAATAAAATCGAATGAAATAAAGACATGTTCTGATTGTTTTCAGGGGAACCCCTCAGGATTGATGTTTAGAGATGGGAAGAAGCGTATCGACTACATCTTGGTGTATAAGAAATCCAGCCTTCAGGTGGAGAAGAGGTGCACGTTTGAGAGGAACCTGCGGGCAGAAGGTCTAATGCTGGAGAAGGAGGTATAGAACAATATTTTTAACTAGATGACTGTTGTATTTGAACATCATTTTGTTTGGATTGACTCGTATCGTCCTTAAGGAAAGAACACAGATCCATCAGTTTTACCAGAAAGACTCGGGAGGCAAGAGATTGTATGCATACGATTTATTTAACAGTTTGTATGCAAAATGAAATGTTAAAGTTTTTTGGCGTAGTCCGTAATCCAAATCCGGAGGGTAGAAGACACTTGCAGTTCCTGCCTGAAGATGAAGGCAGGAGCAGAGCCTACCTCTGGTGGATGGACAGAGACCAACCTGGTGGTGGTGGGGAGGATGGGGGTGAACACCGGCTTCAGTTTCTGCAAACGTAGTAATGGGTGTTAACCGGGCTTAAATACTCCATGTGTCGAGTGGCAGTGTTGTGCCTGAACGCGTTCATTGAACGATAGTTCATGAACTCGTTCATATTTTGGGCGAACTTGAACTGAACGTACTGTATTACTGCCTGATGAATGATACTTGTGAACTCGTTCATTCTGGTGTCTGTGAACGCACACTCTCTCAGTTTAAAGGTGCACTATGCATGCAGGAATTCCGTTTTTGTCAAACAGCGACCCCTAGAGTTGCTGTGGAGTACTTGTACTGTCGTAAATAGCACTCACGCAGAGATGGCTCTGCACTCACGGCCTGATCCCCTCCTCCTGTTCAGTAGGATGTAAGCAATTTTTTACAGTCTATGGATGGAAGCTGTAACGAGTTGAAATAAGGTGTGGCCCCTTTAAGAGCTGCGCCCGCCCTGTTTAACTGTCGGCAGTCTGAACACCACATGTCTACGGCGCGGGGTTATTTCTGTTTGATGCTTATTTTATCAGATCTTTTTTGCCGTAAAGCAATTCGTTACATCGCGAGACCTGATATCACGCGAAACTTCCTGATGCTGCGGCCGGCAGCCCGCCGGCTCAAAGTTGCAAGTGTGTTTTTTCCGCTCACATGCGATAGGGGGGTGCGAAACGACCACCATTCAACCCGAAAAGAGTAATATATAACCATTCCAATGACTCCGAAGCTGTTCGGTTGAGGTAAAAAACCTGCATAGTTCACCTTTAACAGCACTGTAAAAAAAATATCAGGTAACCTAAAATGTGCTTCATTTAGTGACTTCTTAATTAACTGCTTGTTTTTCGAAAATATGATTTAATACCAATAAGTTACATCAAGGGTCAAATAAAATAGAAATGGCACATTCAAGTTAAAAGTTACAACTGAATGTTGAAACCATTGTGTTTCTACGTATGCTGTACAGGTCAGGTATAAAGAATATTTTTGCTCAGGTGGCGAAAAATGTCCACCCAATAGAAAAAAGTTTTGCTCAGCAAGAAAACAAATTAGAGGGAACATTGGTGAGGATGGGAAATTTTTTTAATTTCTGTGCAAACTTTGCCCACCGATAAAATAATTGCTGTCGGTGTTTGTATATGGGCTGTGGCAATAATAATAATACAAAATTAGCAACATATGGAAAAAAATAACTATGAACTAGTTCATTTTTGGAACTTGTGAACTTAGTTCAAAATTGTGAAGTATGAACTATGACCTGAACTAGTTCATTTTAAAATTTGTGAACTGAAAATTGACCTAGTTCATGTAGAATGTGAACTTTCCCAACACTGTCGAGTGGTGATTGGCTAGATCTGTGGTTAATGAATGACGTGATTAAAGAATGACATGATATTAGAGTCTTCCCGGTAGAACTTGCGCTAGAGCTCCCATTTCTTTTGACCAGTTTTGAATTCCAATGGAAAATTGAGACACTAGCTCTGCTCCAAATTCTCCAAAGTCTTACTGTCTGCTGTCTGCAGGATGCTGACTTTTATTGCTTCCTGTCTGAAATGGAACCTTTAGAAGTAAAACTCTTCATAGACAGCCGCTCTGTCTAATGTGATGTGAAGACAGGAAACCTGACTCATAATTGATTCTAATAGAGTCTGATGTTAGCATGTTGCTATGGTAACTATGCAATGTTCTAATAAACCTAATAAATACATATAGTTGCTAACTACATTTTGGGATAGCCTTCATGTAGCAATCTTAGATTACAATTACATCTCACTAGGTTTTAGAACAAAACTAATGGCTATCAGTCAAGAGTCAAAAGAGCAGGGGTGGAGCCTAACCCTGACAACTGCAAACGTAAAAGAGAGAATTCAGTACTTATATACTCCAATGTTCAAACAGTGATTGGCCAGACCAAATAGTCATGAATGAATGATGTGGCATTAGAGTCTTCCTGGTAGAACTTATGCTAAATCTATCATTTCTACCAGAAAGACTCAGAGGACAGGTGAAAGTTTACATAGTATTTATTCCATAAAGTATTAACAGATGGTAGCATGCTACAATGGTTCATGTCCAGTTGTATAGAAAATCTCTTTGTCTTTGGCCCCGTTCTTAGTCTCTTAGATTGCAGATCGATGCAGATTCGGCAGATCCTGCCTGAAGGTGAAGACAGGGGCAGAGCCTACCCCCCAAATGAAATTCAAATTGATACCCACCAGTTGAGACTTCTCTTAATTGGAATTCCTAAAATAGAACAATCATATGAAAAATGAAGGAATAATAATAAATATTTATAAACAAATGACTGTATAAGCTATGGTCATGAGATGCCACGTTAGGAAGATTAACACACAAAGACTATGGTGTTACTTGAAAAGCCACGATAGGTCAATTTTGAGAAGGGCAGCGATAGGCCGGCTTACATTAAAAAAATAATAGTCAGTCTTACCTGTTGGCCACGATAGGCCATGTTATGTGGAGGGTCCCAATAGGCCATGTTATGTGGAGGGCCCCAATAGGTCATTTTATGTAGAAGGCCCTGATGGGTTGTGTGATTTGGAGGGCCCAAAAACCTTCAGTGGCCTTTAGCACACCTTACATCACAGGGGAGAAATAAATATGTTTCCTTCCTCTCTGCTAAACCATACTCCTTCAACCCTCATGGACCGCCAGAGAGGGATATATTTTCTGAATGCTGAGACCCGCTTCTGTATCTTCTCTACGGCCACATCACAGTTCAGAGCATCAAAGAGAAAGGTTTATCACAGATGCCTAGTAGCCATTGAACCGATGCACCGTCCTTGTGCTTTGTGGCACAGATGGCTATATGTGGGGCTTACACAGCTTTTTTTAAGACTGCCTCAGTAGATATTACCACTCAATAGGTAGGCCTGGTATCCCCGCTGCATCTATGTCCCAACACCCTCCTCGCCGCTTATGCCTTGCCATGAGCCTCAAGGTGGTAAAGCAGAGGAGGAGACTCATTCGATAACATCTGCCTCGAATCTTACCACCTGCAACCCCACGAGAGAAGCCAATGTGCTGCTTCACAAAGATGTGGGGCCTGGCCCACGAGGAGCAAACATTTGACTCTTACCCCACAAGAAAAGAGTCAAGCGAGAGGGGAGCTCCCTCGCTGTGACAGCGAGTGCATTCAGCTCTCTCCAGAACCAAACGTGCTCGCTCTACCCCCATTAGCAAGACGGGAGCATTCATAGAGGTTGCAGCACTAGGGTAGAGAGCTCGCAAGCAGTTCTTCAACTGGGGCATCCTCACATATCGCTGCTCACACAGCCCCTCCACATGCGAATGGTTAGACTACATGGGAGACAATATAGGAGCTGAATACAGATTCCTTGTTCTTTTTCTTGATACTATCTGGGAGGAATAAAAGACTCACAGACTTATATGTGGGGCAGCAGAGGAGGCGTATTAGTAACATTTGCTCTCAACCAGATCAGAAACAGCCACAGAGCAGTTTTATGAACCAACATGAGAGCAACAGAGCTAGCAGGAGAAGCCCAAGATCCCCACGATCAATCCCGCCCTGCCGCCTTGGCAGCAGCAGGACTGAACCACGAGGTGCAGAAGCTCGACTCTCATCCCTTAAGATAGAGTCAAGCAAGGGTGGAGCTTCCCACAGCGAACGTATTACAATGAATGCATTCAGCTCCCTCAAGATCCGAATGCACTCTGTGCAAACCCTTGATTCTCATCGCTCTAAAGAACTGATGACATGTAATCCAGACACCCTTTTCAGGCACTCAGGCCCTTTTGTAACGTCATCGGACTGTGTTCATTATTACAAGTGTGTGTGTCTTGTGTGGTTTCTTTGGTAACCAGTGTTCTATATTATTAGCTGAACACCTGAACTTTAATTTATCAAACCTACTTTTCTTCTCCCAGATCTGTCATACTATTTTTATACTGAGCATAACTCTGGCAGTATTTCTTTACCTCTTCTGTAGGTGTGCTTGTAATGTCGGAACATAACTTTTTCCAAACTTGCTAACAATACTAGCTTTTCCCAGTTCTGCCACTTTTCACATATGGAGTCTAAATAAGTTTTGACACACACAAATTAACAAAGCTGTTTTTCAACAAGGTAATAGGGAAATGAGGGGTTTAACCTTCAGGAAATGTTGACCCCATAGGTCAAAGAAATTATTATTTTGTATTTATTTGTTTTTGTTCTGATTAAAAGGAGGCTCAGACCCATGTTACTACTATAGTTACACTTAAAGGTACACTATGTGATTTTTGGCCCTCTAGGGGCATTATCTGTTCAATAATCTGTTTGAGATTTAGGGTACTCCATGGCATAACCTTTCTTACTCATTGTGACAACTAAACTATGGCACTCCCACACCATACATGTGTCAAAGTTGCCAGAGCATCTTTTCTCTATTTGCGGATATGACGAGGCGCGCACAGGCACGTGACATATGTATGCAATTTCCTATGAAAACCATCCTGCTAGGTCTAAAATATAAACACTTACCATAGTGAATCAGTAAAAGACAAAAACACATTTTGGAATAATTAATGATGTATTGACTCATTATATACATTTTGTTAATTTTGAAAAAAAAAGTTGCATAGTGTACCTTAAGGTAACAAGTGAGATGGTTGTTAAGTAAGGGCTAGCTAGTTTGGAACCAAATGTTTATTTGTATTATTCAAAG